GCTGAAATCCAGTAACAGGTGATAGGAAGATGTGGAGATAGAAACTGACCTGAATTCTGAAAAACAACATGAGAAAAGGAAGTCTGAGAACAAGCTGGTGTTCTTCCAAAACCTGTTCATTGTGTGAATTCCTAGAAGATAGCGTGACACCCAGAAACAGGCTGGAGTGACACACCCAAACAATTATGCTACCTAGATCTGCCAAGGCAGGCAGACAAACTCAGCAGCCTGGAGAATGGAGGACAGAGTCCAGACTTGGTGAGCCAAGTTTTCTTCTGTTTGTTTTGCTGTTGCTGTTTTTGTTCTTGTTGACCTATTAAGTTCTATGATGAGACCAAATGTTTAAGAAGTGTCTTCTATCCTAAAACTTGCCTCTCAGCAACAACAGCGGCAATTATTTTTGACCACTCACTATCAGACAACACTGCTTTAGGCTGTGGAAATGCAGTAGTAGAAAAGCCAGGTATAACCCCTATCCCCATGGAGGCACTATCTCCACACAAGGGCAGAGAGGACCTGCAAGCCCTGAGGTCTACAGCTGAGGTTCCTCTCTGCAGGACAGTTGCACTTCAGGTCATGCTGCAGTATGAGAGAAGGCACTGTGACATCTTAAGGTTCTAATGCTCACACCTGTCCCAGTGAAGCATTTCTACAAAGTAATCACCACCCCCCTCACACTCCCAACAATGTCATGAAGTCATACATCTCCTTGGTTTGAAATATTGGATTAAAATATGATTAAACAATATGTCTCAATGGAAAGTTGAGACGTGTGCATTCTCTATCCTCAAACATTCCTGGTATGCCCCCCCCCGCCACTTTATGATTTTTTTATGGTTTGCCTATCAGAAATCTGTGCTAAAACTCTTAAAGAGTTTAGTTCTTAGATTTATAAGAGTAAGAGCATATAAGAAATTATTCTTTGACAGTTTTCATTGCTAGCAACAAAGTTTTTAGGTTCCAAAGAGGTATTTCCTTAGAAACTAAACAGTGTGAACCATGAAAGGAGAAGATGGTGTGGGAGAACAAATGGGGATGAGGTATGAGGAAAGCCAAATGCTAATCCTGGTGTGTCACTGATGTGACTTGGACAGTGCCACCCCTCTGGACCTCTGCTTCCTCTTAGGGAAAAAGTGCTCTCTGGGGGTTCTCTGAGGTTACTCCTGGAGTTCAGGTTCTATGAGCCTGGAAAGAGCAAAAATGTCTCACACACGCTACTTAATGTTGTCTAACTGATAAATAGCAAATTTTTTTTTTTTTCTGAGATAGTGTCTCATTCTGTTGCCCAGGCTGGAGTGCAGTGGTGCGATCTCAGCTCACTGCAACCTCTGCCTCCCGGGTTCAAGCAATTCTCCTGCCTCAGCTTCCCAAGCAGCTGGGATTACAGGTGTGCACCACCGCACCCAGATACTTTTTGTATTTTTAGGAGAGACAGGGTTTTGCCCTGTTGGCCAGGCTGCTTTTGAACTCCTGGCCTCACGTGATCTGCTAGCCTTGGCCTTCCAAAGTGCTGAGATTACAGGTGTGAGCCACTGCACCCGGCCTAAGTAGCACATCTTTACCAGATAATCCATGAAATTTGAAAAAATCCATAATAAATAAGTGACATTTGTCAAAACCATATAATGTGTCAAGCACTGGGCTATCAGCCTTTCCACACAAACTCTTTCCTTTAAATTTCATGGCAACCCAATGATAAAAGTGGCATTAGAATTCCTCTTTTTTTTTTTTCTTAAGTACATGTGGAAACTGAAGCTTAGAAAATTGCTATGACTCAACAAAAGTGACAAAGCTGGAAACTGACAGAAATAAGCCCAGGTGTTGGACTGCAGCTACAGAGTCCCTCATAAGGGAAGCTCCTTCAGGAGCAGTTTGCCTGACTATGAATGGTGTCCTCCAGCCCCTGAAGGAAGGAACTGAGATCATATCTCTCTCTTTCACCAGGTTTCACATACAGAAGCAGCTTCATGGACCCATCCAACAGGAAGGGATTTCTTACAGGCAAGCCAAGAAGTTATCTTGCAGCTGACTTTCAGTTATGCATAACTACCACCCATCCGGGACCCAATGATTGGGCAAAGGAGCTCGGACATCACACAATAATGGCCCAGTGACTCGTCTAATTGCCTACTTGTCAATGCCATAGTATTACAACATTCTGGTGGCCTGACTTACTTGACTATTCATATCTCAAAGGGCATGCCTCTGAGATGCCACGTGAGATATTTTGAAAGATTAGATATTGCTGAATTGAGTCATATGTGGGAAAGAGAGAAGAGGGCTCACTGGATTCCTCTCTGGTAGCAAATGATTTGGTGGGAGTGAAGCCCTGAGAAGAGACTGTCTGGGAGGATCAACCAAAAGCCTTAAAACAAAGGAGGGCCTTTCAGAGACTGGCTAAGGATACAATCATTAAAATCATTTATTCAGTCACCATTTCTGGAGCTCACTGTTAGGCAGGCAAAGATACATAAGAGAAGTTGCTTACTTTCATTATCAAGTTGGAGACAGCAGTTATCAGAACACTGTCAGTATTTCTGGGAAATCCTGCAAGTTATGTCACATGGGGTACCTCTTTCTTTGAGCTCAAATCGCCCTATCTCCCACTCTGGTTACATAACCACTCTGAACTACAGTTTCATCTTCTGTAAATTGGGAATAATGAGTTCTACCTCATTTTTAAGTGAGCTTCTTAACGTGAAAGTAATTTTCAGATGATTTAATGCGAAGGGATATAAATACATTGGGAGTATTTGGGGAATCCATGAAGAGATTTACTTCCTTCTTTCATATTCTGAGATTTTACTTTGAAGTCTTACAGGCATGCACGTGCGTTTTTTTTTTTAAGTTGATTAATTAAAATTATTCCCTGCTTTTGTTCTTAAAATGAGATATACTCCATTTTTATAGATTTGTCAAGGTTGCAAAGCTTCAGAATTCCTAAGTCAGCTGTGACTATTGGATAATATCAAACCAAAGCATTGAGGGTTTCTTTAAAAACCAAAAAGTCTGTTTCAGGGCTGAGACAATGAGGATTTCTGATATCTTTATAGGTGCAAGAAGCAGGCAAGGGAGCCTTGGAATTATTGACAAGAGCCTTCGTAAACACCTTCCAACCAGTTTTCCTCACAGTTGCCACAAAAGGAACAGGCTTGTGAGAGGGCCACAAAGGAGCTTAGGTTTCCTGACAAACTCTGAATGGCCTTCCCTGTATTACCAAGGGCTGACTTTGTTCCTGGTGGTGCCAACAATGGGCATGAAGCCAGCCCTTCTGTTTACGAGCAGCTCAAGGTCAGGTGGGCTTGGACTACCTGACTTTTCATTAGGTCAGTAAATATGTATATGAGTAAAGTGGCTGTGGGCCAACTGAACTGCTTGCTCCAGAGCTATGGACCTCTTGCCTGGCCTCCCAGCTCCCTGAATCCATGAGAACATTCAATGAATCAACGAGGACATCCACATCCTCATTGAGTCCTCCTTTGTCCTTCCCATTCCCTGCCTCATTCACAAGACCCTCTCCTCATCTCTCACCCTGTCTTGCCTTGACGACCTGTCCAGGCCCATCATCCACCTGACCTATAAACTTCAAACACCTTGTGGTGTTTCCTGCTTCCAAATATTCCTCAAAATTGAGGATCCTGAGTTGAATATCTGGAATTCTCTTTTCTGATTTCTATAATGGTAGACATGGTCTAAGGTAGATTTTCCAGGCTTTTCTGGACTTGCCAGAGACTCCCTCTCTTGGCAGGTCTGAATCAGAAGATCATGCGCTGGCTGGGCATGGTGGCTTATGCCTGTAATCTCAGCACTTTGGGAGGTCAACGCGGGCAGATCACTTGAGGTCAGGAGTTCGAGACCAGCCTGGCCAACATGGTGAAACCATGTCTCTACTAAATACAAAAATTAGCCGGGTGTGGTGGTGCACACCTGTCCTTCCAGCTACTCAGCAGGCTGAGGCACAAGAATCTCTTGAAATGGTGAGGCAGAGCTTGCAGTGAGCCAAGATTGAACCACTGTATGCTATCCTGGGTGACAGACTGAAATAAAAGAAGATTCCTGCAGTGTCCTAGAATCTCTACTTTTTTTATTTCTTTTTTGAGATGAAGCCTCACTCTTGTTCCCCAGGCTGGAGTGTGATGGCATGATCTCGGTTCACTGTAACCTCTGCCTCCTGAGTTCAATCGATTCCCCTGCCTCAACCTTCCAAGTAGCTGGGATTACAGGTGCCTGCCACCATGCCCGGCTAACTTTTGTATTTTTAGTAGAGATGTGGTTTCACTATGTTGGCCAGGCTGGTCTCAAACTCCTGACCTCAGGTGATCTGCCTGCCTTGGCCTCCCAAATTGCTGGGATTACAGGTGTAAGCCACTGAACCCGGCCAGAATTTCTACTTTTAACACATATTCTGGAGGATTATTATGATCAAGTATGTTGGAGGAATAGCTAGAATGCCTGTTAGGGTATAAAAAGTATTATGTTTTACTTCTTCGTGTATATTTGCATGTTTTCCTAACAGACCCTCAGTATTACTAGATGATTAGCCAATATTGCTAGATGATTAGCTAGATAATATGGATGATTTGACTGGCAGGTAGTGGCCCTAATGCAGTAATAAGAAACTCTGTCCATAGATAGTTGAGAAAGAGCCTTGGGTGCTGACACATTAAATAGGCCTTATGAAATATATTTTGGTGTTCTTGAGATGAGATGAGAATGAATTTTCAAGAGGGCAATTTGGTCTCATTTTAACTTGGAAGATAGAAGAGATGGTCAAGAGTCTCATTGTTTATATAAAAAGACTGTAGAAAATGCATCAAAGCATTCGTAAGGTTAGGCACCTCTACACGCTTCTTGAGGTTAGACACCTCTACATGGTTGGTGTGGTATCTGCCACAAAGTAAGCTCTCAATAAAACTAATGGAATGAATAAATAAATGAATGAACATTGTATTCATTGATGGTGACTGGGACATGTTCCTTTCTCCTCCCTGTCTGTCTAGGTCTTCTCACCTAAAGAACATTGGGAAGACTTTAATTGGAATCACAAGAATTGGGTATAAACTTTGGCTCCACAGTGAGACATTCACTATCTGTGGGCTTCATCTGTAAATGGGTGGGCTGTCTTTGGGTAAGTCACCCAGTTGAAACAATGGATTCCAAGGGTTTTATTACCTCCTAAGGGTTGAATAGGATTATTGTGTGTCTCTTTGACTTAATCAGTCCAATATTCTACCTCATGTGGCACAACCCTCACTTCTCAATTTTGTAGTCTATTTCTTTTAGGAAGAGTCAATGCTCAAGATCTGTGAGACACTGAAGCATGTTTGCTTGTTTTTCTCAATATATGCACGTTCTGTATATCTCAGCTCTGAAGAACTAAAGGTAAACTCTAATATGAGCAGTAGGAAATGGCCAGATAGGAGGAACGTGCACAGTGACCTTGGGCAAATGTCTGAATTCTAAGGCATTTGTGGAGTCTGCTTTCCTCCTCCACGACATGAGTAAATCAGTTTCAATCATCTCTTAGGTTCCTTCTGTATCAGCTTGGAAGTCCCTGCTGGAGGTAAAGGGTGACACTGTTCAATGCCCTGAGAATAGCCAGGAAGAGGCTCAAGTGTGTAAGAATAGAAAAGGAAGGTTATGGCCTTTTTACTTGATTCCACATGCAAACACAGGTAAACAGTCATGAGAAAGAAAAGAGGTTTAAAAGAAAACACTAGTGACCTTATCTGCTTTTCCTTTTGGTAAAATACCTTTGTAGGGCTGCTTACTACGTTGTATATATATTTTAATTCTTTCTGCCCGTTATTTACATACTCGTTCAACATGTATTTATTGAGAAGTTTCAGAGTTCTGCTGGCTGTCTCATCTTCCATCTTCTAAAGAAAATAACACCACCACCACCCAGTTGTGCTAGTTTTTTGGCTTACCTCCTTACAAGGTCACACTGCTAAAACCCTCACTCTGGCATGACTAATCTGACACAGAGTTTACCTTTGTTCTCCAGAGGTCTAATGAACAGCTCCCTGTATACCACCAGGTGCAGTCCACACTCTTTGTGCTGGCCTTGAGCCCCTTGCCATCTGACCTGCCTCCCTTGTTCCTATTGTAGCTTCCCACATGCCCAGGCAGCAAGTGACTTGGCTCAACAAACAGCTTGTTGCTGTGATCTGCTTGTTCCTCTCATTGAAACCCTTGAGGCCTTGGGAGGTGGTATAGCATGATGTTAAGAGCAAAGCTGTGAAGTCAGTGGTGAAATGTGGGTTTTACGTCTGTTTTACCTGAAATCCCAACATTAACTGGTTTTGAGAACTTTGCCAAGTTTCCTAAGCTCTCTGATGTATGAAAAGACGATGGTAACCACTTTGCTGAATTGTCTTAAGGCTAAAAGGAGATAAATTATGTAACTTGTTTGCTTTGAAAATGGATTGATATTTTCTCATGAAATCTCCTTCAGGTGCACGTCATGAACCCTATTCTTGCAGTCCAACTTCTACTCAACTTTCAAAGTCGGGGTTTCATGCAATTTTTGTCATGAAATGTCCAAAAGCAAGTGCTCCCTCAGTTGGACTCTCTGTTATGGCCCATATTACATTTTATCATGTATTTTAGATATTTGTGTTGTTATTATATGGAAAGTAAACATCTTATTTATCTTTATTTTGTCCAAAAGCCTGGCACAGTTGATTGCCTATGTGATACGTAGTAGTAAAAAAATTTTTATGAAATGAATTAGTGAATGAATATACAATGTATTAATGAAAGATTTTGCTAGCAATAAATATTTCTATATGTAAGGACCTAACGGGGGCATGCCAGCTAATGAATCTTTCTGAAATAAAACTTTTTGAAAATCTTTCTCCAGTAAGATATTTGAGCTCATATAACTGACAAGAGAATTAAGATATAAAATATATAAAAATCATATGAATCAATAATATAAAAAGAACTAATTACAAAAAAGGACAAAGGGCAGGAACAGGAGATTTCACAGAAAATAAAACCCAAATGGCCAATAAATATATGAAATGTTGTTCAACCTTACTGGTAATTATGGAAATGAAAACTAAAATAATAAGATAGCATTTCATAAATTGAACACTTTGGAAGTACTTAGTAGTAGTAATGATGTAAGAAATGAGCATTTAAAACTTTAGGTTTCAAATTGATCAAAGTAGATTCCTACAAGTAAATACAAAAATGCATGAGAATAATGCATCTGATCTACCTGTACCAACAGGAATAAATTCAGAAAACAACAGAAAATGATGAAGGTTACTTGCAGAGGTATAGAACAGTGTGATGGCATTTCTATATAGCATCAACCCATACACACACATACACATACACATACACATGACCATACCTGTATTAGTCTGCTTTCACCCTGCTGATAAAGACACACCTGAGACTGGGAAGAAAAAGAGGTTTAATTGGACTTACAGTTCTACTTGACTGGGGAGGCCTCAGAATCATGGCAGGAGACAAAAGGCACTTCTTACATGGCAGTGGCCAAGAGAAAAATGAAGAAGCAAAAGTGGAAAACTCTGATAAACCCATGAGGTTTCATGAGACTTATTCACTATTATGAGAGCAGCATGGGAAAGATCGGCCCCCATGATTCAATTACTTCCCCTGGTCCCTCCCGCAACACGTGGGAATTCTGGGAGATATAATTCAAATTGAGATTTGGGTGGGGACACAGCCAAATCATGTCATTCTGCCCCTGGTCCTTCCAAATCTCATGTCCTCATGATTTCAAAACCAATCATGCCTTCCCAACAGTCCCTCAAAGTCTTAACTCATTTCAGCATTAACCCAAAAGTCCACAATCCAAAGTCTTCTCTGAGACAAGGCAAGTCCCTTCTGCCTATAAGCCTATAAAATCAAAAGCAAGCTAGTTACTTCCTAGATCCAATGGGGGTACAGGTATTGGATAAATACAGACATTCCAAATGGGCGAAATTGGCCAAAACAAAGGGGTTACAGGGCCCATGCAAGTCTGAAATCTAGTGGAGCAGTCAAATTCTACAGCTCCAAAATGATATCCTTTGATTCAAGCTCTCACATCCAGGTCATGCTGATGAAAGAGGTGGGATCCCAGGTCATGGGCAGCTCTACCCCTGTGACTTTACAGGGTATGGCCTCCCTCCCGGCTGCTTTCAGGGGCTGGCATTGAGTGTCTGTGGCTTTTCCAGGTGCATGGTGCAAGCTGTCGGTGGATTTACCATTCTGGGGTCTAGAGGACAGTGGCCCTGTTCTCACAGGTAGTATCACAGTGGGCACTCTGTGTAGGGGCTTTGACCCCACATTTCCCTTCTGCACTGGCCTAGCAGAGGTTCTCCATGAGGACCCCATACCTGCAGCAAACTTTTGCCTGGGCATCCAGACGTTTCCATACATCTTCTGAAATCTAGGCAGAGGTTCCCAAACCTCAGTTCTTGACTTCTGTGCACCCACATGCTCAACACCATGTGAAAACTGTCAAGGCTTGGCGCTTCCACCCTCTGAAGCCATAGCCAGAGCTGTATGTTGGCCCCTTTCAGCCACAGCTGGAGTGGCTGGGACAGAGGGCATGAAGTCCCTAGGCTGCAAATGTGGCAGGGACCCTGGGCCTGGCCCAGGAAACCACTTTTTCCTCCTGGGCCTCCAGGCCTGTGATGGGAGGGGCTACTGTGAAGACCACTGACATGGCCTGGAGATATTTTCTCCATGGTCTTGGGGATTAATATTAGGCTCCTTGCTCCTTATTCAAATTTCTGTAGCTGGCTTGGATTTCTCCCTAGAAAATGGGTTTGTCTTTTATATTGCATAGTCAGGCTGCAAATTTTCCAAACTTACGTGCTCTGCTTCCCTTATAAAACTAAATGCCTTTAACAGTACTCAAGTCACCTCTTGAATGCTTTGCAGCTTAGAAATTTCTTCCAACAGGCCTATCCTAAATCATCTTTCTCAAGTTCAAAGTTCCACAAATCTCTAGGTCAGGGACAAAATGCTGCCAGTCTCTTTGCTAAAACATAACAAGAGTCACCTTTAGTCCAGGTCCCAACAAGTTTCTCATCTCCATCTGAGTTCTCCTCAGCCTGGACCTTATTGTCCATATCACTATCAGCATTTTGGGCAAAGCCATTCAACAAGTCTCTAGGAAGTTCCACACTTTCCCTCATTTTCCTGTCTTCTCCTGAGCCCTCCAAACTGTTCCCACCCCTGCCTATTACTCAGTTCCTACGTTGCTGCCACTTTTTCAGGTATCTTTGCAGCAACACCCCGTTCTCCTGGTACCAATTGACTGTTTTAGTCTGTTTTCTTGCTGCTGATAAAGACATACCCAAGACTGGGAAGGAAAAGAGGTCTAATTGGACTTATAGTTCCACATGGCTGGGAAGGCCTCAAAATCATGGCAGGAGATAAAAAGGAACTTCTTACATGGCAGCAGCAAGAGAAAAATGAGGAAGAAGCAACAGCGGAAAACCCTGATAAACCCATCAGATCTTGTGATACTTTTTCACTATCATGAGAACAGGATGGGAAAGACTGGCCCCCATGATTCAATTACCTCCCCCTGGGTCCCTCCTACAACATGTGGCAATTCTGGGAGATACAATTCAAACTGAGATTTGGGTGGGGACACAGCCAAACTATATCAGTACCCTATATTGTTTCTGGGTGGGGGGAGACATAATAAGATTGTAAAAATGTAAACAAGAGGGAGTCACATAACATGGGTACCATGGTCTCTCTTGGGAAGGAATGAGAGAGGAAGGAATCAAGAGAGCTGCAACCAGATCTTTGGCTTTACCTAAAGGTTTTATTTTTTATTTATTTTTTATTTTTGAGATGGAGTCTCACTGTCAGCCGGGAGTGCAGTGGTGTGATCTTGGCTCACTGCAACCTCCGCCTCCCAGATTCAAGTGATTCTCCTGCCTCAGCCTCCTGAATAGCTGGAATTACACATGCCTGTCACCACGCCTAGCTAATTTTTGTCTTTTTAGAAGAGGTGAGGTTTCACCATGTTGGCCAGGCTGGTCTCGAACTTCTGACCTCACATGATGCA